CGTTCGTTCGTCTATCATTCAAGCAAATCAATCATTCTGCCAAGTGATCAAACTAAATTGATGATCACTGATTGGTAAATCTTTTTAAGTGGAAAATTTTCCCTTCTAATTACAATATTTTTCTTTTTTGAAAGAATATTTGTTAGAAAAAAAAATTGTAACAAAAATATTTATAAATAACTAAAAAAAAAATACTTATAATTTATTTTTTATTTCCTATTAAATAAAAAAATGATCATTATAAGAACGAAAAACGAAAGTACAATCAGTTTAAAAAATAATTATTTTCTAAAGAAAATCAATAATACATATTTTTCTTCTTACATTTTTGAAAGCTAAATTAAAAAAAAAAAAGTTATATAAAATTAAAATAATGGAAGGAAAAAATCTCATTGCAAATATTTTTTTTTTTTTTTTGTTGCATTAATGACAAATGATTTGACATTTTTCATTTCGTTTTTTTTTTTTTTTTTTTTTTTTTTTTTAAATTTAAAATGAACTAAATATTTCATTTCAATCATTCTATCATTTGTTAACTGATTTTAACTGATTTTATCAGTCAGAGAAAAAAAAAACTTTATAAAATGATAAATGAACAACTTTAATTAATTGAAAAAAGATGCAATTTATTTTATTAAAAATGGTAATTTTTATGAATTATTATGGAAAACTATTCTTCAATTTAATATATATTTCAGTAATTTTGAAAATAAAATTTGAATTTAAATTACAAATCTCGGCGATAACTACTTCAATTCTAATAGACTAAGTGAAAAGGGAAAGAAAAGGTTAGAGAGAAGACTTAAGTATTAGAATTATGATCAAAGTATAAGTACTAAATGTATGTAATAAAAACTTCGCAATTATTTTTCGTAAACATATAAAAAATTTTTTATATATTTGTTTTTTTATATGCCAAATATTATAAACAAAGACTTTTGTGTCACAAAGAATTCCATGGCAACATTCATAAACAAAATAATTTCACGTCAACATTCATAAACAAAATAATTTCACGTCAACATTCATAAACAAAATAATTTCACGTCAACATTCATAAACAAAATAATTTCACGTCAACATTCATAAACAAAATAATTTCACGTCAACATTCATAAACAAAATAATTTCACGTCAACATTCATAAACAAAATAATTTCACGTCAACATTCATAAACAAAATAATTTCACGTCAACATTCATAAACAAAATAATTTCACGTCAACATTCATAAACAAAATAATTTCACGTCAACATTCATAAACAAAATAATTTCACGTCAACATTCATAAACAAATAATTTCACGTCAACATTCATAAACAAATTGCCTTGAATCAATCATTATAAACAAATAATTTCACGTCAAACATACAAAATAATTTTACGTCAAGATTTATAAACAAATAATTTCACGTCAATTTCACGTTAAACATACCTTTAACATTGACCATCATTAAACTCATACAAACAATTTCACGAAACATTCCATATTGATACAAAGGATAACAACAATAAATTTCTTTATCAGTGACTCATATCTAACTGAAATTACAATATTTTGATTTGATATCTTTTCATTTAATTTAGATATGAATCACTGATAAAGGAATTTCTTCTTATCATCCTTTGTCCTTTAGGACAATGTTCTAATCAATTATGAACTGAACGAATTATGCAGTACAAAAGCATTATTAACCTTTCCCCCTCTCTCCCTCTCTCTCTCCCTTTCTCTCTCCCTTTCTCTCTCTCTTTCTCTCTCTCTCTCTCTCTCTCTTTCTCTCTCTCTCATATTTCTTATCAATTTCTAAAGAGGAAAAAAGATTTTTTTTTTTGAAAGAGAGAAGCAAATGAACCGATGAATACTTAATGTCAATATTTCAACATGCATTATTATATTTTATGGATGAAAATGTTTTCCATTAAAAAAAAAAAAGAGCAAAAAAAAAATTCAAAAATTTTATTTATAACTAAAAATTTTCATCTCATTAATCAATCTTTAAAAGAAAATTTTTTAAAATTTAGGAATAATTGAATGGAAATAAAATAAAGAAAACATAAATCTCACATTCAATGCAATATATATGTGCCAGCTATTAGGTAATTTTAAAATCATTGCAATAAATTAAATTCCTAAATTTTAAAATTTAAGTAATAAAATTAGCTTTTTTTATCTCTTTCATGAGAATTTTCTAATTTTATACAACATTTAATAAAATTTTATATAATAAAATAACAATAAAATAATCAAATAATTTTAAAATATTATTTTTTACATCTATTACTTGTAAAATTTAAATTTTAAATAATAAATTTAAAAATAATTAGTTAATAAAAAATTTTTTATATTCAAACATTTATTATCCCCTCAATAATTCTCAATATTTTCCTATTAATGTTTATGAGTAATCTTTTTAATTTCCTTCATATTAACTACATCGATAAGAAATTCTGAGAAAATTTAATCTGAAAATGTTTAAAAAAAAAAATAATAATAATTGGGGCAACTTGACGACATATATTGTCCCAACTATTTATAATATTGACTTAACTAATAATTATTTTGTTTTTCTTTCTTTGAAAATTAAGATTGTTTATTTATATACTATTACGTGTAGCTGCAAGAATTACAATATTACGTGAAAATTGGCTAATATAACGTGACGTAAAAGTTAAGTGAAATAACGTTGCGTGAAAAAATTTAATAAAATATTCAATCAATGAGTTTTTTCTCCTTTTTTTTTTCATTTCTTTCTACCATAATTCAACTTTTTCAAGTAAACAAAATGATGTGAAAATGAATGAATGTAAATAGAAAGATTAAAAGAAAAGCGAAATTTGACAGAAAAAAAAATAATATAAATAAGGAAAAATCAGAAATGAATTTAAAATAATAATAATTAATTAATCAATAATTGAAAATCAAATACAATAAAAGTTTTTTTTTATTTTTTGAATTAAATTTAGCACAAAAAAAAAGACAAATTAAGAATTTTTAACAAAATCGACAATTGGACAAAAAAAAAAGGAAAAGAAAACAAAAAATTTTCATTTTTCTAAAATCAATGCTATATGCTTGCAATTTAATTTAATAAGAAAAATTTGACGATTAGCTCAATTCAAGCTTTTCCATTTTTAATTTTAGCTTTTCATTTTCATTGCAATAATTCAAAATTCATATTTCATTCATTGCTTTATTCTTACAGTTCATTAATTATTAATTACTATTTATTTAATAATTCATATTTTTACTGATGTTTATATCGATCAATTTTAATTATAATATATAACAAATGAATATGTTTCCTGATTTGCTACTAAAAAGAAAAAAACGGATTCGAAAGTGAAATTTTGAAAATATTGAGGCTATATTGAGCCAAGAAAAAGCCTAGTACGAGCCTAGGCTATATTAAAAGAGAAGCAAAAAAATAAAAATTGGGAGACTAAGAAAAGGAAAAAAAAAAAAAGGGAGAATAAATAACTTCCAAATGACGACTAATATGATGAAAAATGAAAATGAAATTTTGTTGAGGAAAAGGGCGGAAATGTCTACGTCGTCTTTCAAAGCGAGAAGAATTCCAATTTCAGAATTACTCAAATTCATTCTTTTCATTTCAGATTGAAATCATTCAATTCAATTTATTTTCCAATTTCAAATTAATTGTTTTTGACTGGTTGAACATTACAAAATTTCATTTCATTTTTATTCAAAACTTATCATCTTCAAATTTTAAATTGATTATAATTTGAATTAAGCTAGCTTAGAGATGTAATTAATTTCTGCATTCGTCGATAGCTAAATAAACAAATTCAATCAAATAAAATGAGCTATCATGTGTAAATAAATTTAGGTTTAAAAAAAAAGAAAAGGAAATCGATTTCTCTAAATTGATTAAACATTTCAGCTTCTGAATAATTATGAATGATTAAAAAATGCTTCAATTTCTATACTTTCTTTTTCCTGTGAATCATTTGATGACATATGCGCACGAAGTAGAAACAATAAATTAAAAGTTAGCTTAATTGAAGTATTTGAAAAAAAAAAAAGAAGAAAACACACAATGCGATAATTCCATTCTTGTTTTTGTCAAATAATTATTTTCAAATTTTTATTGTGTGCTGATAAATTCAACTTATAGAAATGATAACAGTAAAGCAATGGCGGTGATGTCGTTCAGTTTTTTGAAAGATTGTGCGCAAAAATGCAACTTTATATTTTTTTGTGATATAATTATGCAACCGATATCATCAAAATAAGTATTAGTGATATGATTGAAACAACGTAATATTTGTAATTAATTAAATAATTGAAAATTATCAGTGATATAAAAAATTTCCAAAACATTGATTAAATTTCCTTAAAATTAATCAAATCATTCATCGATCTTTCATATTTACGTGATTTACCATTTGTAATATCATTTCTCATTGCAAAAAAACACGTAACGCAAACATTAAACGCAAAAACCACGTAACGCACACATTAAACGTGTATTAACATTTTGTTATAACCAATCACTTAAGTATTAGTTTAAATTTTTTAAATAATCTTAAATTTTCAAAAGTCATAAATTCTACAATATTTTTTCCATTTTTTTGACATTTCAAAAAATTATTTTCATTATAATTCCATCACTCAAATTTTATTTAGGAAAATGAAATGGGAATAAAATAATTGAGAAATATTTAAAATATTTGAATGCTATCACTAAATTAGCATTAAATTTTATCATTTTGAAAATATTTTCATGAATATTTTCCATTTCAGGCATTACAGACTATTACAGTAACTTTACACTTTAATTTAACTTTTTCAATTAAAATGCAAATTTTTATTTTAATCAATTTTTTAACTATTTGAAATATTCATTCCGTTCATATTCAATTCTAATAATTTAAAATATAAAAGAGCGAATTTTCAAACATTTATATAAAAGTTTATTTAGTCAATCATTGTTTCATCAAAGCTAACGGTTGAACGGTTTGCTTAAAAATATTTCAAATGTTGAAGCTATTATTTCGATTGGCAATTTTTTTAATTCTTCATCGGAAATCAACTGTTAGCTTTTTTTCTCTCTCTCTCTCTCTCTCTCTCTCAATTTAACTGATTGATATTTTATTCAACAATTCTTTTTCTTTCTCTCTCTCTCTCTTTTGTTTTTATATAAAAAAAAAATTAAATTTTTCTTATCAAATTTTTGTGTATTTTTACTAAAAGTTTAATTTTCACTAAAGGTAAAAAAAAAAAAGAATTATTAAATAAATTTTTCAATCTAAAATTGTGAAAATGGCATAGAAAATAAAATGTATGAAAAGATTTGCTATTGTAATGACTAATAGATCAGATTTAAAGTAAATCGTAGAAGTGTGTGAATTTTGAAAAAATTTTATCACTTCAGCAAAATGAACTGAAAATATTGGAGCAATGAGAAAGTTTAACTTTTTTGATTGAATCTTTTTATCATTTCAAATTTAAATTAGAATTCATTATTAAATGTATTAGGTGTAAATTGCAATTACATTAACTTTTTTATGATGCAAAAGTTAAAATTAGAAATTAATCTTTGATTTCATATTTGTAAATTATCTAAACCAAATTATTTTATTTTAAAAGTTTTGTTAAAGGTTAAATTCATTTACAATTTGTTTTTATTTTTATGTTTATAGCTATAGCTAAATTTCTTTTCTTTGTCTAATAATTAATTCATTTTTTGTTGAAATTTTTACAAAACTAAATAAAATAAACAGTTTAATTCAATGATTCAACTTTTTAATCAATGCTTTTACCTTTTTTTTTCTGCAAGAAAAAAAAAAGTATTTTAATAATTTTCAGCAACAAGGAGAGCAAAAAGAAGTATCAAAAGTTAAATGTTATAGACCGGAAACATTGTCAATTTACACTAAGTAATGCATTTATAAAATTATACATTCATTGATAATTAAATTCTTTAATTGATAATGATAAATTCATTTTGATAAATTCTTCAAAATTATTAACATTTAGGGAATTACCAGCTATGTGCATTTATGGTATAAAAATTACGGACGGATTTGATTTTTCCTTATATTATAATGATCCGGAAAGAGATGCTAGTATGGCAGAGAAACTTGACAATGTCGGAATGGATTTATGCCAATTTGTACGACTAATAGGTACTACTGCTAGTGATCCGTTTCAGGAAGTAGTCGTTCCGGTAAGCCTTTTTCATTTGCTTCTTTATTAGCATAAATTATTACAAGTTTTTCATTTTTTTTTTTGATTTTTTTGTATAAAAATATTAAATATTGGTAAATACTGCTTTTTTTTTTTAATTTGTCAAATTTATTTAATTAATTAATTATCATGTAATGATTTTTATTTCATTTTTTGGTGAAGTGAGTGATATGATTAGTTATAATCATTCAATGAAAATATTGAAATTAATTACAGATTAATGATAAACATTTGATTGATATGTTTATAACTTGTTGTAATGAATGTGAACGTGATGAAGAAAATTGGCGCATTTATTTAAAGTCACAATTTCTTGCTCATCGATATTCGATTATTGAAACGATCAGTAAATATCATAGTTATGAATTAACAGGACGTTTGAGAAAATTGATTTTTCCAGCAATTTGCATAACAGAAGATTATCGAGAAGTAAATCATTTTGAAAATGAAAATTTTAATTTTATTTTTAAAGTAATAATTGTAAATTAAATAGAACAATAATTTTTTAAATATATTAGTCAAATGTTTATTTATTATAATTCTTTTCTTTCTCTTGTTTGCATTTTAAATGTTTTAGTGTAAAATTAACTTTTAAAACGATTTATTTTTCCTATAGATACCAGTAACCGGAAATAATAATGTATGCTACACATATGGTAAACAAAATTTTATCAATCCATTAGCTGGTGAAAAATATCCATCTGTATTTAAAAATTTGCTAAAAATGGGACAATATAATGCAACTATCGCTGTAAAATATTCATTAGGAGAATATTGTGGCATGAATTATGCTCATTTTGCTAGTGTTAGTATAATTTTTAATTTAATTTAATTTTTTTTTTTTTTGCATTAAAATTTAAAAAATTTTCTTTTGCATATCAGTGTTTCCCTTTTTTTTTTTTTGATCGAATCATTTGTTAATATTAGATAAATTTTATTTCGTTTATTTTGCTTGAAATAGCTGAAGAAAGAAAAAAGATGAAAAAAGGAAGTTTGTCTAATTATCATTCAAAACAAATACATTTAATAAAGCAAAATTAAATTTAAAATTTTAATTTTTCTAACTAAATTATTGCAAATGAAGAAATAATCAGTTCTTCTCATCATTTCATTGCATTCAATAAATTGAAATCGAAATTTTTCAGGTTGTAGAATCATGTTCATTCGGTTTGTTCCAACATAATTTCGAATATTTTTGTTGTTGTTATGGTATTATTTTGAGAGATTGTCAAAGTATGTTCAATTGCTTTTTTATTCTTTAATTTACATATTATTATTATTTTTTAATTGTTATTAATCTTTTTTTGTATCTACAATTCATCATTCTTTTAATTATTTTTTCCTTTTTGATAATATTCAACAATCTTATCAATTACTTATTTATACATATAACAAATGCTTCATGAATTGAGTGAAAATTGATCTTTTATTAATATTAGTTTTTTTCATTTATTATTAAAAATTCATTATTAAGAAGTAAAAGTAATATATTATGATATCATCATAGAATATCCAATTTTATTTCAAATATTTTTCAATAAAAAAGTAAAAAAAAAATTAATTAGTGGTTATAAACTTTATTTCTTAATATTAGTTCTTTTTTTTTTCATTTATTATTAAATTCATTGACATATTATTAATGTCAATTTAATCATTTACAGAAACAGCGGCGCTTTTATTCCGCAAAAATGAAGCAAGGAATAATCATTTATTTTGTTTAATTCATAAAGAAAAAATTGAAATAGATGGGTATAATTTTTATCAAATTTTTTTTTGATCAAAGAATTTATCTGAAAAAATTATTTACGATAGCTTAGCAAATTAGCTTAACATAATTTAGAAAATAATATATTAACACAAAAAATAATATATTGTCACTTTTTACTATTTTCCTTTTGAAATGATGCATAAGAAGATAAGAAATAAAAAAAAAATAATTAAGTATTCGGATCAAAAGAAAATTCAAATAAATTTTTGTAAATGACTTTTTCCTTTTTAATACAAAAATTATTATTTTAATTTAATAAACTTATTCATATGCAAATACTACTCATTTTTAAATTTATTTATACGCAAAAATTATTGTCACATCATAGTGACAAAAAAAACGATGAAAGGCCTTAAAACTTATAAAAAATACAGTACGTAACAGGGAAAAAAATGATATATGAAAGATACGATACATAAAATACAGTATACGAAGAGTGCGGTATACAAAGAATACAGTATGTATGAAGAATACAGTAAGCAAAAAATGCAGTATGTATTAATAATTGCAGAAATAAAGAAGGAAAGAAAAGTATAACTTTTAACATGACCGTAGGAACAATGCTACATATTATGGAAGAAGTGAATGATTATGGGGTAATTGATTACATTCTCATTTTTTTTTACAATTCATAAGTTTATTTTTTAAATGCCTTATCAATAAGCTTATACGCTATATGATTTCTTAGCTTAATATAAGTTTAATTTTTTATTTTAAAATTTTTAATACTTATAATGAGACTGTTTTATGAATATAATAATATATAAGGAAATTTCTGTAATTTTTTTTAATAAGAAAAAATTGTTATTATTGTTGGATTTTCATATGAAAAGATAAATTAATAAAGATAAGGAAATATAATTATTTTAATGCACAAAGCAATTAATTAATTAATTAGTTCATACATCTCCTTATAATTATCATTTGTAGTACTGCTATATGCATTTGAAACCAGATAATAATATTAAATTTGGCATTGATGAATCGCTGTGCATAAAATCGGGCCTTTTAGACATTCGTCTTCGACCAATAATTAGAACATATTGTTTTTCAGCTAGTGGTGAGCATTAATTTGCAATTTTAAATTTTATTTTGAAATTCAACAATTGAAAATACCAAAATTAGCAAATTCGTCGCTTACAGTAATTCAAAACTTTGATAATAATTAGGTACTCTAATTAAGATAGAGTATGATATATGGAAACTTTTTATGAAGAGTGATAAGTTAGAAATTTGATAGTGAAATAATTTAAGTGATAGTGTGATTCAACAAATAATAATTAGATGTATTAAAAATATTATCCGATAATTTACAAACATAAAAAGAGATTGATGAAATGTATGATATCAAAAAGAATAAATTCTACATTCCATTCAAAATTAGAAAAATTTATATTTTATAAAAAATTTTTTTTAATTAATTTGTAAATATTATTTCAAAGATTATCATGATTATTGTCCATTCATAACACCTGCTACGAACAAAACGTATGACATATTATGTTGTTGTAATCATCAACATTTCTGCAACTACAATGTGAGTTTCCTTTTTTATAGATTTCCAATTCATTTTAACCGAAAAATTTTTTTTTTTCTAATTTTCATTTGTTAAATTTACCCAAAAATAAGGGGAAAGGAAGCAAAAAAATAAACTAATCTTTAGCAAAAATTATTTTAGCTAAAAATAAAATTTTTTATCATTTAACTAATATTAGCTTTATTTTCTGTTTCTTTTCTTTTTCTATAATTATTTAATTATTATTTTTTAAATAAACTTTTAGCCTGATATTTATACAAAATTAGCCAACCAAAATGCTACTCGTCCAAAATGCTTCTATAACGATAGATATCAGTATTTATTCAATCAGTATTACGTCAATTCAACGCATAATGACGTGTGCTTATTACATTTTATTGATAGTAGCACAATAAATGATATTAGCACAACTAGCAGCAAAAATGGTTCAATTTTTCACTCATATCCAGGTGAATAGTTCAATCATTTCTAAATATTTATTCATACAATTATTTCTAATATTTATTCATAAAATTATTTATAATATTTATTTATAAAATTATTTCTAATATATATTCCAATCATTTCTAATACATTTATTTAAATAAATAATTAATTTTATATTAATAATATGTGTTAAATGGCAATTGGAAATTCATTTAGGAAATGGATTTCATCCGATTGATTTTTCATATACATTTCTGGAAAATAATACTTGTACATATGTGGAAGTAGAAGTAAGATTGAAATTGATTTTCTAATTAAACTAATCATTTGATATCTTTAATCATATCACGGCACTATAATTAATGTTTGACCATTTAAAGCCAATAATATTTACTATTAAATGCTTTGTAACTATTTACAGTACAAATAACTTGCAAAAACTTATAAATGTGAATTTTCATGATTAATCAAAAAATAAAACAAACTTAATTAGAATTTATTAAATAAAAATATATAATTTACTAATAATTAATAATAAATGAAAAACAAAAAAAAACCGAAAAATTTTTAAATGAAAAAACACTTTTTTACAGATTAGTACAGCTACTATTAAACGATCCGTTGATTGTTTTAATGAAAAATTTAATACAAATTATATGCCATTAAAAGTATTCGTGTGTAGTTGTAGTCTACGAAAGGATGGCAATTACTGTGATCAAAAATTGGAAACAGAAATTGCAAATCGTGCAGAGAGATTTGTTTGTTTCATTTCATTTAATTAAAACAATTTTATTTTAATTATTAAAATATTTCATTATAACATTTAATTCTATCATTGCATATATTTAATAAATTTATTTAAAAAAAAAAAAAAAAATGAATTTACAGCCGAAGGAATTATTAACAAAATGTATTAAATATGAAGCAAAAGGAGCAGAAGTGAAAAGAAATGAATTAGTATATGTGCGCCACACTTCTTATTGTTTTATTGAAGCATCTTTAATAATAGATCTAGAATATGGTCTGTTATCAAATACAATAATAAATTTATTTCATTATTAATTAATTTTTTAAAACACAAAAAAAAAAAATAAAATAAAAAACATTAAGCAGTTTAAGCATTTTTAGAACAATAAAATAATAAATAAATTATTAATAATTACTTTCATTTTTTGAGGTATAAAAGTACTTGTCAAAGGAAATGGTGTGACACGACAAATAGCAGAAGCAAGTAAAAGAAATTTCAATCACATAGCATTTTCAATGTATAATTTGTAGGTTACTAATTCTTTTAAATTATTATCACAATTTTTGCATCACATTATGAGTATTTAAATTTATATTATTTTTGCATAAAATTCACTTCTAATTAATTTTACCTCATCAAATTAATTGAAAAGAAAAAGAAGAAATTAAAAGATGAAATTGTTTGAATATTTTTAAGAATTGAAACATTTTAATATCTTATTCAAAAATTTCAATTTTCTTCAATAATTTGAATAATTTTCATGAGTGGAACGGAAACGCAATTTTGCAAAACTTATTTAGCTGATGAAGTTTTTCTTGTTGGCGCATGTTTTTGCCGTACCTACGACATTAGCGCACCTGCATGCAATAGTGATCCAAAAATGATATCAATGGCTAAAAGAATGCTAATCATAGAGAGAACTAATCATTATGTATACTTTATTTCTCATTTAATACTCAAATTCAGCTACTTAATTCATTTCTTATATATTATATTCAAATTTAATAACTCATTTAATACTCAAATTCAGCTACTTAATTCATTTCTTATATATTATATTCAAATTTAATAACTCATTTAATACTCAAATTCAACTACTTAATTCATTTCTTATATATTATATTCAAATTTAATAACTCATTGAATATATTTATAACAATGAAACATACAAAATATTAATTATTTAGTTATCCAGTTTTTTGCATTAATTTGATTACTTAATTATTCAAATTCAGTTATTCAGCTTCAGTATTCAGTTATACAATTTATGCATTTTAAAAGAAGATTAAAATTTTAAAATTATTCCATTTATTAAAATTAGCAATCAGTGATACAAAACTTTCCTTTTTTTTCCAACAAATGACATAAATCATTTGAATTTAAAAAAAAAAAAATAAAATTTATTTGCAGTCACGTTTTGTATATCTTCATAGATTGAATATAGCTGGAAATTTATGGTGTCTCTCGAGTCTATTTTATGCAAAAATCATTTTTGATGGTTACTTTCATTAATAATTTTATTCATATCAAATAATATTGATAAATAAGACGAGAATAATTCACTTCAAAAACTGACTTAATTTTTGTTTGTTTTTGAAAAAGTAAATAAACTAGCTATATTATTAATATCTAAATAATCAGGTGATAAAAAAACCTTCTAACCATGTCAAAAAGACATTAAAAAAAGTTCAAAAGTTCAAAGTTAAATTACTAAATAGGAATAAACAAAATCTCTTACTTAATATGATAATTATAGAAAGTCGTTTTGTTCGTAAAAACGTAAAAACGAAATATGAAAAACGATAAAAATTACAAATAAAAAAAGAATAAAAATTTTTTTTAATATTTCTAAATAAAAGAAAGCCATTATCAACTCATAATTATACCTATACCAAATATAATTGAACAATAACTAAATTCTATATGATACTTATAAAGTTTTTAAAAAGTTATTTTTCATTTCTAAATTCTAAATTTGCTATATTTAGTTAAACTGGAAATACAATCAAATAACTTACAACTTTAAAAATTAGCCATCCATTAGAGTAATAATGAGAAAATACTACAAGTAATGAGATTTACATTTTGAATGATAGTAAATTTCTCGGCACTCTAAGATTTAATACACCATAAAATTTAAAAAATAATTAAAAGGATAATCAATCAAATAATGATCTATCCAAATAAATCAAAAAAAAAGAGTCAAAAAATCAAATTAGACTTGACAAAAACAAAATTAAACTAAATATTAAAATAACTATAAATAACTTATTAGGAGCAGAATGTAAAATAGTAAAAGTATTATTTTAGATCAATGTAAGATGGAAATTAGATTCAACAAAAAATTATTAAATAAATTATAAATGTGAAAAGAAAGTGCATTAATTTTGAAGCTATAAATAATCAAAATTATATTGCTAAATTAAAAATTTGATTTGAAAGAGTGGAAATTTCAGCAATTGTTAAAAATTATTTTAATTACTAATTATATCATCGAAATATAATATATCACTAATTTGCTTCCTTTATAATATTTATTTTAATTATAATTATAGTTTTTTTTTTTGCAGGTAAAACAGATAAATTTTATAGGAATTCGAAATGTGTTACAGAGCAGACCGAATTATTAAAAATTGAAAGAACTCATAGGCCAAAATTATTTGGTAAACATTTCATATCTTTTTCTATCATCTAATTATTGCAAAAAAAAAAAATAATAAGTAATTTAAATGGTTTATTATTTTGATTATTTGTTGTCCAATAGCTTAAATCATCGTTGTGTTTCTGTTTCGATTAAAATTTTTGAAAATAAAATTAAAAAAAAAAGAGAAAAAAACGATGGAAGAATTTTATTCGGCTTGAAATTATCATAAAAAAGAGTATTAAAAAAAAAAATTTAAGAGTTAAAGAAAAATTTATTGAAAAATAAGAAATTAATTTTAAATTCTTTATTTTGTTCTTTTTTTCCAAACAATTTCACAAAATACAATTTTTCTTTTTTTTTTTTAGATAATTCAATTTTTTGCGATTCAATTTCATTCTTAGCCGATGAATTTGGATGTTTTGATTTAAATTGGAATGAAGAAAAAGAATTGCAAATGTCACAGGGAAGTAATATATTTTGTTGTTGTAAAAATGAAAATGATTGTGACACAACATCCTATCAAATTCAACATTTAATTTTTCATTTAAGAAAAACATTGATTCTTTAATTACTATTTTATATCAATTAGCATTTTATCAATTCCTTTTTATCAGTTATTGTTATCGTTTTCTACACAATTTAATTTTTATTATTTACATTATAAAAAAATATATATTTTACTATGTTGTGTTTCATTTGTTTTTATCAATATTTGTTATCAATTATTAACAGCAATGATAAGTGATAAATAATAAAAAAGTAAACAGTTACAATTTTTAAAATTATCTGTACGAAATGACTACCAAAGTTTACTTTCTAATAAATATTAAAACAAAATGATTTATACTATTTTACTATTTCATTCAAACTTATCATTCATCCATAATTAAATATTATTAATTAATAAAAAAAATTTTTGCTTTCTTTTTTTATTTTAACTGTTCTGCATAATTCAGATAATACTAACAATCGCTTTTTTTTCCGCTTTTTATTTCAAATATTTATCAATTCATAATGACTGATAATTAATATAAGTAAAAATGGAAATGCTAACCAATAATATAACTAAAAATTCATTTTCAACTATTAGAAATACTTAAAAATTATGCATGAAATCATTAACCTAATAAAAATTTCAGTTGCTTAATCCTAAAATTATTTTTATCAGTGCTATGTTTGATTAAGCATTGATATTTTAATCAAAGAAATCTATAATTAAAGTAATTGAATAATGGATTAAGGTAATTAAATAATGAAATAATAGAATATTGCTTTAATTTAATTTTGTTTGTTAAATAAAGTTGCAAATATCTTTGTGATAAGCAAATTAGTATTATGCATTTTATTATCAAAATATGAATTTTAATTTAAGTAATACTTTACAAATGATTACTTTACTTGTTCTTTTCTTTCTTTCATTATTTATTATTGTTTTGTTCATTTATTTTAATCTTTTTCTTTTTTTCCATCCGTATTCTTTCACTTTCTATGATTTACTCAAAAATTTTTTTTTTATTTTAATACCACAAAGAACACAGAATTTAATTTCTTTTTTTTTCAAATTTATTCTTCATTTAATATAGTTTGACCACATTTTTTTGTTTTGAAATTTTTTACAAATCAAATAAAATCCGTAATAAATCACAAAGAAAACGGAATATTCACAATCCTTGGATCCGTCACAACAAGGCATTATTTGCTTCCTTTTTTCACTTTTCACATCATAGAAAGCGCAATCCGGTTTCACTCTCCACGTCACAGAAAAGCGCAATCCGGTTTCACTCTCCACGTCACAGAAAAGCGCAATCTGGTTTCACTCTCCACGTCACAGAAAAGCGCAATCTGGTTTCACTCTCCACGTCACAGAAAAGCGCAATCTGGTTTCACTCTCCACGTCACAGAAAAGCGCAATCCGGTTTCACTCTCCACGTCACAGAAAAGCGCAATCTGGTTTCACTCTCCACGTCACAGAAAAGCGCAATCTGGTTTCACTCTCCACGTCACAGAAAAGCGCAATCTGGTTTCACTCTTCACGTCACAGAAAAGCGCAATCTGGTTTCACTTTTCACGTCATAGAAGGCATAATCTGGTTTCAATTTGCGCGTCACATAAAGTATAATCTGGTTTACTTACGTCTGATGACACGTTTATTTCAACCATTCAATCATTTTTAATTAATCGTTGACACAAACTTATAGGATTCTTTTATAGTACATTAAAATGAAAAGGAAAAGGTGGAAAAGTATTCAATAATGATCAATTTCTAACAAAATTTCTTTCTCTTTCATCTTTGCTAAATAAATTACTTTCATTTAAATCTAATTTAAAAGAATTTTTTAAATGTTTCATTAAACTGATAAGTTATCAAAATAAAAGTGATAAGGATTTTTGAAAATAATCAATGAAATTATTACAAAATACATTGGTTGCATTCTCATAAAGTAAATGATTGTTTTCCGGTTTTTACATTCATTAATTAATTCATTAATAATAGCTAATCATTTATTCAATATGAAATCCTCCGGACAAAATTTTAATTTCGTATATAAATTAAAATTACAATTACTTCTCAAATCGAATTAAATCAAATTGTATTTGTTCTGTCGATGGATATGTTACAATTAATTTTGAACTTTGAAAAGATTCATTTGTTTATTTATTTCTTTTTAAAAATAATTTTGAAAATGATTTAATTTATCTTTCTTTTCTTCTTTTTTCCTTGAAATGAAATGATTGAAAGAAATTACACTCTAAGCCTTCAAATCTCGGAAAATTATTTAAAAGTCAATTGCTAATAAATAAATTGAAAATATAATTTGACAAAAATGAAAAAAAAAAAGTATTATTTAAAATGCAAAATAAAAAGAAATAAAGGAGAAAAGAGAAATAATTGAATAAATAAAAAAATCAAAAATTTAAAATTGAAAAAATTTTATCAATTCATTCTAATTGTTTGCACTTAAATGTCTTTCCAATTAAATTTACCACTCAAATTTTTGCATTTTGTTGAGTTAAAATTTAAATCTCTAACTTTTCAAATTTAATTTTTAAGCCATTCCATTCAATGATGATTCTGTCGTTTTTTTCTTCATTTCTCATAAAAGCTTTTTTATAAGCTGAAAAAAATGAAAGTTGAAGAAGAGAGAGGGAAAGAGAGAGAGAGAGAGAGAGAAAAAGAAAAAAAGGAGAAGAAATGGACTAAAATTGAAAATAATTCTCATAAATGGAAGATGGATTGAATTAGTCTAATTGTTTATCAAAATTACTTTAAAAAGAAAAAAAAAAAACTTTAAAAGCTTTTATTTTATTTCGTTTCCTTTTTTTTTTATTCTAAAATTTCATTTCAAAAATGCATGTATATGTGTGGAATATAGCACAATTTAATTTAAAAACAAATCTAACTTAGCTTTAAAATGGCTTACATTAATGGATTAATTCATTTTCTTCTATTTCCATTTTTTCCATTTCAATTTCTTAAAAATAAAAAAACAAAAGAGAAAAAAAAAATTCACTCATTTTGAAATTGGTAACAATTAAAATTATACTATTTCATCCATTATTTTGAAAAATAAAAAAAAAAAGAAATTAAAAATAATAAAATCTGACATAAGCAAATAATTTAGCCTAGGCTTTTAGTATTTTAATGGTTTTATTTCAAGTTTATTTAAATTCATTGCCAATTTTGTTTACTCCAACATTTGTTAAAAAAGTTTAATTAACTTTGCAATGGTACATATATATGATAAAAATTTCAACATTTTTTAAAATTATTTTCAACAAATTTAATAATATTATAGGAATTATTTAAAAATAATTCAATCGGATGGAAATATTAATCGGAAAAGAACAAAGCTAATATGCATAAAATTGGAAACAAGGTTAATTCTAGCAATTTTTTTTTTTTAAATTTAATTTTTAATTTCATTTTATCATTTGTCTTTTCATTAAAGTAATCAATTAATTGTTTGCTCCATTTTGTATTGCTTCTTTTAATTATTAAATATGGATGTGGAATACTGAACGAATGCTTTACAAAAAAGTAAAATAAACAAAAGTTCATTTACGACTACGACAATTGCGCCATTTCTCTATAGTGTGTGTTAATGAATTTATGTGTATTCTTCCAGTATACCGTAAAAATGACACAAAACTTTTCCGAAATATTTGATGAATGAAATAAACGATAGAATAAGTCGGAAAAGAGCGATGAATAGATGACGTCACAGCCGGAAGTAAAATAAAATGGAAATGGACATGTAGTAGTGGACACTGGATGACTGACCATTTCTCAAATTTCTTCTATTCCAAACATTTAGCAGAGGAATAGATAGTATCGTAAATGGTGTTGGAAGTGATAATAATTTGATCAATTAAAAAAATGAAATTAATTAAAATCAAAATTATAAATAATTTGAAAATAAAACTTTGTGTCATAAATTTTTTTTTCTAAGTCCACACGACATTGATAGTACAATTGTTTGTTTCAAATTTCATTTATTTGAACTAATTGAAATGAAAATTTGAAAAATAAAAATGATATTAAATTACGATTTTAATTTAACTGTATCAATTTCTCTTTTTCTTCTTTTTTTTTTCTTCAAAAATTATAGTTTGCATAGTGTAATAGTATCATACACATCATAATGATATATTATTTAAATTATCCTTTATCAAATTTTATTCAATTTCAAATTTTTGACTTTTTTAAATTCTAATTTCTTTTCAGATATGGGTTGCATTATCAAATCTTATCAGTGTAATCACTTATCAGAGATGAAATATGGTATAATTGGAGACGATGTAATGCAACTTGTAATATGCGTTATATATATTTGGTACGTCTATAAATAATCAAATTGTAAACAATTTCATTTAGTAGTTAAGATTATCATAAATTACTCTTTACATATTATCAAATTTTATCAGTGAGTATCAAGTTTTATTAGGCAGTTAGACTTTGAAATTGATAAGGATTAAGTTTTGAACTAACAACGTGAAACTTTCATTATACTATCATATTCTACTATAAGTGAAAAAAAAGGTAAAAAATGTTTATTTGAAAAAAAAAGGTAAAATTTAAAGTATTGAATAAGTAAGCTACAATTAATATCTCAGTCAGAGGTCAAGGAGATCAAAAAAAAAAAAATTTACAAAGTATTTTTTTTTAAGTTTCTTTAATTTTAATTAATTTCTAATGGATTATATTCCGATTTAATGAATTTCATTTGTATTAAAAACTTCACTAACATTCATAATTTTTAACTGATTCACTCATTTATGAAATAATAATTAATTAAGGAAAAAAAAAACTGTTTGTTAAAATTATCCTCTAAAATTATATTATTTTAGGTCATCAAAAAATTGAAAATATTATAAAAGCTTTTTATCAAAATTTAACTTTAGACATATCATTTTAATCATTGATAAAATTGTTTAGCAAATGTTAGCAATTTGTTTATTTTTTAATTCATTAATAAAGTAAACATGCTTAAAATTAAATTACAATGCATGAGATGTACATATATTTGTAGCAATTTGATAATAGTTTTATCGTTTTTTAATCAAAATTTTAATTAATAATCAAAATTTGCCATTGTTCAACAACTAAATAATCTTTTATCTAATTCTCAGAAGAATAAAAAATTTATTTAATTTTAAAGTAAAATAAAATAGTTTCATAATTATTTTCACATTGATAAATATGATAATATCACCATCATAGTGATAACCGTTTGTGAAATCTTTAGCATAACAAAACAATTTTAGTAAAAAAAAAAAAAAGGAAAGAAAGAAAAGAAAAAAGTACCTATGCTATTTATCAATTTATTTATTGAAATAAGCTAAAATAATAATAATAATTGAAACATCTTTCAAAAAAAAATAAATAAATTTCAATTACGAATTTATCACTAAGTTATCACTAAATAAATATCTCATCCTTATCATTTCATTCATTTCCTTCTTCTAAATTGTAATCATAACGATAAAACCAATAAGTGGAAGATAAGGTTTTATCATTGTTCCAAGAATTGGCATACTAAGCATACGGTCAACAATCCACCAATATACTTTAAATTGAAAACGACCCCAGCTAAGACGAGTCCTTGACACTTCGATTTTACCATCTTCCATTCGTTTTCTTGCAACATCCACCGCTGTTTGATTACATATCTGAAATAATTATCAATGATAATAATGATAAGAAGAGTATATGGTTTATTTAACAGTGATAATAATGATAAAAAGAGTATATGGTTTATTAAACAATGATAAGAAGAGTATATGGTTTATTTAACAGTGATAATAATGATAAGAAGAGTATATGGTTTATTAAACAATGATAAGAAGAGTATATGGTTTATTTAACAGTGATAATAATGATAAGAAGAGTATATGGTTTATTTAACAGTGATAATAATGATAAGAAGAGTATATGGTTTATTTATGAATGATAAGTAATGATAAGAAGGATATATGGTTTATTTATGAATGATAAGTAATGATAAGTGGAATATAGTTATCAATTTTTTTTAATGTGAACATTACAGATATACAATCGTACAACTTTTTACAATTTTCTCTCTGTCATCTTTCTTCTTTTTCCTTTCTTCTTTCTTTTATATTTTTCATTGCAATAAAATATTAAGCACAGTATCCAATATAAAATTATTTCAAAAAAAAAAAAAAAATCAATAATTAAATAAAATAATGATAGCTTCAATTTTAATTGAATTATTTTTTGAAATGAGAAAAAAAATTGCATTTGAAATTTGTGGAGAAAATAAATAAATAAATAAATTCTTATACCCTATGATTGTCGCTATTCATAAAATAAAATCCAAATTTGGCTAATTGCATTAATTTAGAACCGCCATCAGTTTCACAGTCCAATTGAAGAATGTATGGTGGATTTTTCTGATTGGTATACATCCATTCCCATGAATTTGCAATTCTAAAATTAGTATTAAAATTTTTAATACTTTGATAAAAAAGAATTAAATTTAATTACTATGTAAATAAATTTACATTCAATTTCAAATATTAAACATTAAATGTCAAATGTTTTGAAAATGTGAACAATAATAATAATAATAATAATAATATAGCAAGAACAATAAGATAATAGTGACATTTACTTATTTACTCACTAAATAACTAACTTACTTCCTAACAGCATAACTTATATTAACTTTATACTTACTTATGTGGAATATAGCTACATTTTGGTTCCTTCCATGTATGGCACTGATGTATCATAATACCCATATCTGGCGTATACCAATGCGCTAATTTACGTGCCACAGCCTCGAAGAATTTTACTGTACTATTATTTGCACGTACGAAGAAATTTGCGCCTGTAAATGATAACGATTAAGACAGGTTGAAATATAAGATAATCTAACTTATCATAGGGTAACAATTCTGTAAATGATAACGATTAAGACAGGTTGAAATATAAGATAATCTAACTTATCATAGGGTAACAATTCTGTAAATGATAACGATTAAGACAGGTTGAAATATAAGATAATCTAACTTATCATAGGGTAACAATTCTGTAAATGATAACGATTAAGACAGGTTGAAATATAAGATAATCTAACTTATCATAGGGTAACAATTCTGTAAATGATAACGATTAAGACAGGTTGAAATATAATAATCTAACTTATCTAACAATTCTGTAAATGATAACGATTAGGTTGTAACAATTCTGTAAATGATAACGATTAAGACAGGTTGAAATATAAGATAATCTAACTTATCATAGGGTAACAATTCTGTAAATGATAACGATTAAGACAGGTTGAAATATAAAATAATCTAACTTATCATAAGATAAACAGTTTATATTAGTGCGATTCTTGTTACAATCGATTAATGATAATAAAGATTATGTAATGATGATAAAGTGATAGGTAATAAATAGAAAAATGAAAGAAACAGTGGAAATAAGAAAGAAAATATAAAATGTCAACAATCTATTCTTAGACATTTTTTTCACTTTCGTTTCTAAATCATTTATTTAAATTTGAAAAAATACTATTAGAAAAAGAATTCAAATTTCATTTTCAATTTTAATTATCAATTTTTCACACAAAAACAAAATTTTATGTTATTGTGGAAATATTTAAAAATTCATAGAAAAAAAATTTTTAATTTATGGATATTTTTTGATAAAATGAATTTACAATTTACAAAAAGATTTTTTCATCCTAATCGTTTTGTTTATGATTGCACATACATCTATCATTGAAATAAACAAGTTTTAAAAATAGGTGAGTTAGATTACTGGAAAGAAACAAAAAAAAAAAAAAATTCCTTTAAAGTTTTCTTAATGAATGATCTCGACGGAATGTTGAGTTTTGTTTTAATATCCTGCTAAATTTTTTTTCTTCACTTTTCTTTTTTAATTTCTCTTCCTCCTTATTTCTTTCTTTTAGTTAAACTTTTGATAAAAATTAATTCCTTGTTTAAACTTGATTAAATAAAATTCCGAAGGATAAAAAAATTGAAGTATGGAAAAAAGGTTAACAGTAGTGCGAAGAAAATTTAATTAATCAAATAATTCAACGGCTTTTTTTTTTTAATGAGTCCAAATTAAAACAAATTTCATGATTTTTCATTTTTTCAAAAATAAAAAGAAAAAAAGCATTTCAAAGTTAATTTATTTAAAAAAAAGAAAAGTTATGTCATCAAAAAAAAATCAATATCAAAGATTTTATATCTGTTCGCTTCTTTAATCGTTCCCTTAAAACGAAAAGAGAAAAAAAATATTTGAATATTCTTTCTTCACTAAAATCTAATATAATTATAATTCAATCAATTATTCTTGCAATTTCATTTTGTTAAAATTTAATTTCTTGATAACAGTACGATATCATCCTGAATGTTGTCAAGTTCTGATCGGTATTCCTACCAAACTTTACAATATTACTTATCGAATTATTTTTTGATGTTATTTTTTATTTCCATTTTTTTTCTGATTAATTTGAAACAAAAATGAAAAATTATTTGAATACTTTTTTTTTTCAGCAAAACATAATATAATCAAAAATTAATATTCCTATGCTTATTATTTAAAATAATATATCACTTCAATTGATGTCACATCTGCTTGTCATTTTCTACCTATGTTTCGCCTTCTCTTTCTTTCTCATTTCCAAACATAAATTAAATTACTAATGGACATCTTATTTTGCAAAATTAAATTGACCTCTTTCCCATTCCAAAACCAATGAACTCTGGACACCTTCACACTTTTCATACAATTGAAGGATGAATACAAAATTATCTTATCAGTTCTATCTTATCTTTTTATTTCCTCAAAAATCAAAAAAAAAAAGAAGAAAGAAAAAAAAAGGAGCAATATCAAATTATAAGATCTTATCTAATTAAATCATACAAAATTGAACAAAGTTTAATATTATCAATTGTCAAATAAAAATTTTACTTTACTTTGAAAAAGAAAAAATTTAATTAAAATATGAATTAGAAAAGATAAAATTAAAATTAAAATATATGTTAAAAAAAAAAAAAAGTGCAAAAATGAATACCATTAATCCATTCAGCTCGTTGTGAGACATTATTAAAACCAATTTGATCAAAGATTGCATCGTATTCATAATTCTCTTCAAGGCCTAAGTCAAAAATATTTTTAAGCCAGAATGTATCTTGTTGCATCATCCAAAATGATTTCCCATTTTTAAGTAAGCATACAGCCATGTTAGCACGAAGTAAATATAATGTCTGATAGGCA